TTGGAGTGTCTGCAACCTACACTCAAGAGAGTCCAACAGAAATCACAACCCTAACACGTAGCTCTCTATGGAGAGATGACCCTTAACGAGGTGGACTGACACCGGGGGGCTGCAGCTATGGGCTCAGATGTGGCAAGGACTGAGGATGGACCAGGGTCCTGCAGTGTTTGGTTCGGTTGTCTGTGGGGTTGCTGTCCGTGGAACAGACTCACAGCACTTAACTAACTAGACAGAGACTAACTCAATGTGGCGTAAACGTTAATTAACACTTGTTGACTCTCAGTGGGTCTTGGTGCAGGGCACGTGAAGTGCAGTCTTCTAGCCTTCCAACTGTTTTTTGGTTTGGAATTATTCCAAATAAAAAGATTTTTAAAGTTCCTTAGAAATGAAAAGACTCCTTTAGGTCTTTGAAAGCTGACAAGAGAACAGAGCTGCCCCCTCACCCAGATGTAATTAATTCAAAATGAGACCAAAACGAAACACAGAAATAAGAAGGAAGTCCGCAGAGTTTTGGATTTTCCCCATGACCACTTTTAAGGAAATACAAAAATACACATTTTTTTCTAAAAATGTGTTTTTCTCGTTGGCCTGCCCTGTTTTTGCCCCTTGAAAGGTGGTTATAGGCATATCTCGACCCATACACTTTAAAAAAAAAAAGTTTAATATTTGCTTAATATTTTATCAGATGTGTGTGTGAATATTGCCTCCCAGTCTGTGGCTTCGTTTCTCGTTGATCCTCTCTCTTTTAAAGCAGTAACAGCCCCTTCCCTGCCCTGCCCTTGGCCCCCAGACACAGCTGACTTCATGCCAATCTCACTGTCTGGTTCCCTAGTGCCGCTCTGACAAGAAGTTATATAAGACAAATGGGATGGCCTGAAGAAACAGGAGTTTATTCTTGTACAGTTTGGAGACGTTAAGTCCAAGCTCAAAGTGCCGGGTCTAGGGGCTGGGTGAAAGCCCCTCAGCCTTGGGCTTCAGCTCTGCCTCCTGCTCCCGGCCACTGAAGCCAGACGCTTTTCTTTACTCAGCTGCTGGCTGCTGAGGCTGCCAAGCCCAAGGTTGACAAGTAAAATGGTACAGTCCCAATATTACTAAATCACACGGCAGGCCGTTAATTCAAGTCCGTTGAAAGTCTCAAGGTCGGCAGAGCATGGCAGGCTGCTGAATAACAACATGGCTACATGCAGGGTTCAAGGTGCCTTAAGCTAGAGACTGTTCCCCAAGGCTTCTCCTTATATTCGGGAAGCAGACCACATGCCTAAGGGAGCCACTCAGCTGCTCCCAGTAGATTCCACCCTGCAGTTGACAACCAGTCTCCTCATGGGGAATACTCCATCCAGCTGCCCAGCCACTCGACCAGGCCCAGCCACGTTGACACACCAACTGAACTACCACACCCAGCAGCACCCAGGACTCAGTGGCCTGCAGTGCCCCGCCTTGGCCGACCTCTGCGGCTCCAGGGCCACTTAGGCCAACACTCCTGCAAATGGCTAACCCCGTGGTCCGCCACGTCGTGAGCCCCCAAGGGCAGGGGCTGGCAGAAATGGCGTCATGCGTGTGTTTTCGGTTTAAGTGAGTGACACGGCCGTGATGTCTCTCCTAACGCCAACAAACTGAAAGGGGCATCTTTCCAGAAGAGCAATGGCCCTGTGGTTCGCTCAGCAGCAGAGGGGTGGAGCGAGAAGGGTCCGGAAACTCTGGGCGGGGTTGCAAAAGGCAAGAAGGTTCCAGGAAACTGCAGGGGGAAGTGGGCGCAGGGATGCCAGGGGCCGCTGCGTGGCCCCAGGAGCGGCGTCCGGTCTGGCTGTGACCTTGACTTAGGGTCGCGTTGGGGGAGCTGAAAGGCCCCAGCACTGCTGGCGGGCGCGTGGGCAGCTGCCAGATCACGGACGCCATTGCCACATTTAAGGCAAATGCAGGGGGAGGGAAAAAACAACGTAGTTGTGGGGAGTAGATGCTGACTCCTGGCAACCTCACGTGTGACAGGATAGGACTGGGTCCCATAGGGTTTCAACGGGTGATTTTTTGCAAAATACATAGCCAGGCCTTCCTTCCGAGGCACCGCTAGTGAGCTCACACCTCCAACTTTTTGGTTAACAGCAAATGTAACCGTTTCCGTCACCCAGGTCTCATAACCTGCAGAGACAAGAAACAGCCACCCATCTGCTCAGGGTGACTCAGACCCGCGGCAACCCCACGCGTGTGAGCAGCTGCCCTTCGCTCTCAAGGATCTGTGGGTGAACTTGACTATACGGACTTGTCATGTTTTGGTTAGCCGCTGAGAGCGCTCACCGCCTAGGGCTCCAAAGGGAAAAAAAAAGGGGGCACTGATTGAAGCCAGCTTCTAAGGAGCTCTGGTGGCGTAGTGGGTAAGGCATTTGGGTGCTCACTAGAAGGTCAGTGGTTCAAACCCACCAGCTGCTCTGCAAAAGGAAGATGAGGCATGTGCTTCCGTAAAGATGTACAGCCATGGAAATGCAATGAGGGTTGTCGGCATGAGTGGGAATCAACTTGAGGGCAGTGACTTTGAGTCCCCACAGGCGTAGCTGGGCAGGGCTGTGTGTACTCGAGCGGGCGCCCGGCGCTGGGGGCCCAGCAGACCTGAGACCGCTGTGTGGGGGCAGCGGGACCCTCTCTAGTTGGGCCAGGCTTGTCTGTTCCATTTCCTCACTTTTAAAATTAACGATTATCAGTGAATGGGTGAGAACCGGGCCTGCTGTTCCCCAGCTCAGTGACCCGAAGCCTCTGACAGCTGCAGGGGCCCCGATCTTCCACAGCAAACCGGCCTCTTCTCCTGCTTGGCCGGCTGACTTGCTGGTCCGTGGGATCTTACATTGGGCTCTTCATGTTGGTCCCCTGGGAAAGCCATAACTAAGTGCCAGAAGTTGGTTTCTAGGAACAGGAACTCGGAGGCTCACTGTTCTGGACGCAAAGGGGGCAGAGGCCAGGCCCGAGAGGCTGAGGGCCAAGACGAGGGGTGCCTGAGGTGTGGCCGGGGGAGGCTTTCCTGGTGGAAGAACTGTACCCTGAGTGTCCCTGAACCTGACTTGTGACCTGGTGTGTCCCTAATAAACCCCACAGTCATGGGTATTGTCTGTGAGTTCTGTGCAGCCAACACAAGGAATTCTTGTGTCCTGCAGAAATAGCGAGAGCCTTGGGAGGGACGGTTGGCATCAGGGTTGTAGGAAGGTTGGAGGGTGGTGGCCTGTCTGGCCTCTGCCTCACAGGAACCAGCCTGGGGCTGTGGCTGCCAGTCCTTCTCTGTCCCCTTCAGGAGCCTGGAGGAGGTCGGGGGGGGGGC